TCTTTTTACAATGTTATATTGTTAAGAAAGATATTCATCAGATAACATTGTTACTTTTTATTATTAGTGTGTGTACTTTATTAACAAGATCATCATCATCGTCATCGTGTCTGTCAGTGCACTATTTTCTTCTATGCATATAAATAATTAAGGAAAAATAATTATAAGTCTGGTTCCAATGTATAGTGCCTCGGTTGTGTTATATCTGCAGTGAAGTGACATAGTATGTTGAGAAAATTGAATAAAATATTGATGCTACGGCAAGTGGAAATGCAGCAACTTCTCTGGATAAACGTGAGGATGAGGGAAATTCTGTGCCTCATTGTTGGTGGCGACGTTTGAAACTTAAGCCTGTCATGAACTTGGATGGTTAAATGAAAGATTGAATATATATACTTACTTGGATTTGCAGTAGTTTATGTGTAAGATGCGTGTTTGGAACATTTGGTCTCTGTGATTTGTGAACACTGAAGTCACTGACTGTCAGTAGCTGTAAGGGTGGTTGGGAAAACTTGCATAACTGTTTTTTAGCGTGTGTTCTTTTCCTATGCTTTTGCAGCTTGTAGATTGAAAGAAAACTTTGGTGTCACATCTTTTTGTGTGGGAAAAATACCCATAAAACATAGCTATTGTTCCCTCTCCTAATGAAAATGTTTTTGATCTCTATTTCTGAAAATCAAAAGTTTTGTTAATGACTGTGGTAAACAAGTATTCAGTTCAAAATGGCTTTTGTTTGAGACATGAGTGACTGAGAATTTTTTTATCTGGCTAAGGGGGTATGAATGTACTTAAAGTAATTAGTAATTAGCTGGTTGGCCATATATGTGAACTGAAATATTATTCAGTCATCCAGCACTTTTGAAGTATTCTTTAAATATCTTTCTCATCGCTTCAAGTCAGTTACGGGTACAGAAGTTTGTTGCGGGTACATCCCATCTTACATCAAGGCACAGAATTCAAGACATTGTTAAACCTGTACATTGAATGAAGGATATAAATGAAGAAGTTGTAGATATAACAGCAGCATCAACAGAATTGTACAAATTATATAGGAGTGTATGCTTGGAAGAGTTACATATTAGGGTCTGTTCAAGTTTAAAAGAAAATCAATTTCTGAGTGACATAATGGTTTCTGTGAAGGCATGCATGAATGATATAAAAAAGGAACAAACTGCATTAAGATACCAAACCGCTAATAATCACCGCCATCAAATACACGTTGTGCGTGTGTCTTGTAAAACTGTAAACTGCCATAGAGAGACAATGGTATGAGAAGTGGCTATGGACTACCTTCACAAGTAAACCAACCTAAAGCTGTTACAAGTAACATTAACTACATGTTTATATTGGGATAGTGACATGCATTATGATCTTAGTACTCTGGTCCAATGCCAGTGCATGTTAAAAGTCTTGCATCATTATTATTAAAACTATATATAGCACTCAGGCTGAGTATATAAGCTATTTTTAACAAAATGCAAGTTCTGTTGAGTTTTTCATCCTGCTGTATATCAAAAGGGGTGAAAGGCATGCTAACAGAAATATCTAAGGAATAAATGGCAAGTAACCAAACATTTAAATTTGAGTGTTTTTCTGCTTCATTTTCCCTCTTTGGTCACAAGGTTATACACATGCACTTCACCCCTCTATTTGAATGTGATATTTCGTAATAGTGTCCATTGCAGGGTGTGTCCTGCAAGGGTATTGGGTTTGTATTGATATTAAATTTACTACAAAATATTTCACTCACTTTCCCTAATTGCTGAAGAGCATTTTGTTAATTTGATGGACATGTGGACTGCACTTTTTCACCATAACTTTCACATCACATCAATAAAATTTTCTTCTAACTACTGTATTGCTGTAATTATACAAATTTAGAAGAAATTGGATTCAAGTCTTTCTATACCTTAGCTTAATAACATAGTTTATTCCAACTGCTAGGTACATCCACTTATTCATCAGTGCAGAAGGAGAGCTTAATGAATGGGTACTAAATATAATATTGTTAAATAGTAATTTGAAGATAGAGGGAATCCCACAATGTGATTTGAACCTTTAAAGAAGCTAAAGATTCAGTTTTAGTGTAATGTGAATAAAAATATAAAAACATTAAAACAATTAAGATGTAGATATCAGGAAATAATAGTGGTGTGTGCAGGTCATGATGCTGTAATGTATACTTATACATTAAATTAAACTGGTTACATATTTGCAGAAGTGTTTAATTTGAAACCTGTCATAAAGTGGGTGATTGTTGCCAAAATTTTAGGTTTGGTCTGTGTTATTTATGTTCATTAAAAGAAATTTTGCTGGATGAACTTGAAAATGGGCTGGAAGACTTGAGGTTGGTACATTGGATCACCAAAGTCCATTAAAGCTTTGTAAGAAACCAAGAAAATTAGTAACATATGAACTGGAGTGAAAGCATTAGTTTGAAAGTTCTAAGATGAAAGATAATGTGTGAGATAACTATCAAAATCTAGTAGACTATAATTTATTGTCACTTATGGAGCTATTTACCATTTTAGTAGGTTTACCCTTATTAATACATATTGAGCTTTTATGAAGGAGTCGTGGTCGGAATCCGAGATTTTAGTATTGACTCCACAGCCCTGCTTTTCCAGGAATTCTCCAGCATTTCTCCATTACCAAAGAACTTCAGCATTGCTTCTCCAGGACTTCTCCGGCAACACTCTAGGGCTTATCCAGAATTTCCCCAGGTCTTTTCCAGGAATTCTCCAGGACTTCCCCATTACCACCCAATGAACACCCTATAAATTCTCCAGGATAACGTAACCCATTGTAAAACAACACATCCTTATGTACCCTGACTTTACATAACTAAATGTAACCTAACCCATCCTAAGCCAAGGGAACGCAACCAAATCCAATGTAACTAATCCCAATGAAACTTAAACGAATACAAAATAACCTACCCGCATGGGATCAAACCCACCACCACTTACGGACTTCCACCTAACCTTCCAGGACTTCTCAATAAGACTTCTGAGTCTTGATTATAAGACTTAAGACTTTTAATTCCTGCATTATTCTGACAACGTGATAGGTTGGCAGATGGTCTAAGAAGCTGATTCTTTTTCATTGTGTTGGCACTGTGTATAGCAGAATTGGTTTTAAAATGCTCTTGTTTTTTCCCAGTGAAGATTTTAAATGAGAATATTAATTTGCTTTGAAGAGCCAAGATGTCTAATCTGTGATGTGGACATCCATGAATTTCTAGTTCTGACACCAGCCATTGTATAATTTTCTTTTTAAAGTGAAGTTAATACCTTTTTTCTGTTTGATGAATCACTGCCTCCCCCAGAATTATTCCATACTTAATTATGGAGTAGAAATAATCAAAATAAACAGATTTCAGTGTGTCAGTGTTGTTGACATGCACACAAACCTAACTGCATAATGTGCACTATTTGGACTGTCAGTGTATCAATATGATTTATCCAAGTTAGGTGGTTATCAATTTGCAAAAGCAGAAATTCTGTATTTACTGACTCTTGTATGCACTTTATATTATAACCGATAATTAAAGCATATTGTCGTGAGTTATTTGTTATAAAGTTTATTACATTTGTTTCATCTACATTTAGGGCCAGCTTGTTGCAGTTTACCATTTACTCAGGTAAGAGAAAACTATATTGGTGCACAGAAATCATTAAACTTTTTACTGTAAATTATGACACTTGTCATAAGCAGATGGATTCAGTTCAGGTAGCTGTTGGAGGAAGGTTATTTATATATGTTATGAAAAGTAAGTGCCTTAGAATTTACCCTTGGGGGAACTCCATTAAACATATGTCAACATTTAATTAGGTATAAGTTCAATGCTTTATTGTTTGAATTTTTCGTTTATCTTGAATATCACGAAATTAATATTTACTGGAGAATAAAGAGGGGCATTTTCTTTACCAAAGATTATTTCTTCATCCTACATAAGTGACGCCTGGGGTCCATGTTGGTTATCCAGACGCAGAAAAGAGAGGGAAATTCGAGCTAGAATAAGCCCAACGAGTGAATGTTAAAGACGATAACCGAAGAATTTTTACCGGTGATTCTTAAAATCAAATTTGAAATGCTTTCATTGTTGGATCAGTTAGATTCTGAATCCACATCACATAGCAGTGGTGATCAGTCTACAAGCAGATCATCAAACGTCATACATGGAAATGAAACGTAATTAGTGTATTTTGATAGGTTAAGTTACAGTGATATACATACAGTGGATTCCGGTTAATTGGGACGCACCGGGAGTATAACACTTTGGCCCAATTACGCGAAGTTCCACGTAAAGAGTTAAAAAGGTTTGTTCTTTAAGAGTTTTCCGAAATAAACGGCTGCCCTGATTAACTGATGGCCCAGTGAACCGGAATCTACTGTCTGTATGTACAGATGTGGTGTATGCAGTGACTCTTTTAATAACTCTGACTATACAGTATCGAACAGTATAACAGTTAATGAATAACGAACTAGAAAGGCTGTGGGAGGAAGTGGTCTTCTCATAATATAAAGTACTATCCTGGCATTTGCTTGGAGAGACTGAGGAAAACCACAAAAATTTCAGACATAGCCAGTCTCTGGACCGATATTTGAACCCAGGACCTCCCAAATACAAAGCAGGGGAGCTAGGTTAAGTTACAAAAATCAAGCTTGTGTAAAGAAACAAAACTAGAAAAGACCTGAAGGAAATTGTTTCCTGACATTGAATAGATAATTATTATAAATAAATGTAGGTATGTCTGTGTAGAGAGAGAAAGAGGAACACACAGAAACTTATTTAAATTACTACAAGATATAGGCTAAATTAATAGCAGGAAATAATCATTTTCATTTTCTGAATAATTTTGCTGAGACATGCATTCACAAATATCTGGTGAAAGCTTAAGTAGTTCGAGTGTCTATGCACTTTGTTATGATGGTGTATGGTGAAGTGGTGTAGCATCTCACATGTTGTAAATCTCGGCACTACAGAATGATTATTCAAGTTACTTTAATTCCAATTAAGACATCACCTGTACCTTTTGGATAGGAGGCAGGTAAGGATATGAAAGCAAAGAGAAAAAGTCCCAATTCCAGTTTTAAGTTAGGAATTTAGCTCTCTATATCACTGTATCCAGATACAAACTGAGCTACAGTGTCTGTATACTCATTGGTGTGATCACAGTTACTAACTCAATGGAGCAATCTGGCTTAAAATTCTGATAACCACTCAGTTAAAAAAAATAATCTTTTTATGTAACCCAAAGCTTCACTGCAGTAATGAAGAGCCTGCACTGTACCATACCACAATCTTTATTGAAGCTTTTTGTATAAATATAGGGACCTAAATCCCCATACTATGAGGCTGTTCATCAGATTTAAATATGGGGACCTTAAAGGTAGGAAAATGCTCTGTGACGTGTAGCCAGCTGAAAAGTGCATAAGCTATGATGCACATAATTAAAATTAACCTTCATCATATGGAGATAGGGGAGACTAAGCCTTCTTATTACAGGACTGCTGGCCAGACTTTAACTCTGGAGTTCATTGTCTTTCTGTATATGCCTAGGTCTCTCAAGTACTTACTTTTCTTCAGGTTTTCCAACTAAAATTTTGCATGCACTTCTCATTTTCCTCATGCATGCTACATGTCTGAAACATAATTATTCCCATGCTTAATATTTCAGCTTTTCACAGAGGTGTGTTGACTCAACCTCAGATCCTGAAGCTGGCTGTAATACAACTAGCAGTCAAATCCCATCCTTGTGTAATGTTACCAAAAGCTTTTTACAGTCTTCTGAGATTGAGAAAGAGTATGCTACAACAGACTCAAAAGAGGATATGGTATGTAGAATTATGACTGTACATGTAAGTGACAACTGTCAGCCACATGTAGTGTGTTGAGTTATGGTCTTCTGCTCCTTATATTGAACTTCATCTTATGCTTTATCTCACATGCATGACTAACATAGTTTTATGAGAAAGGTAGTTGTAGCAACGTTTTGTGTTTTAGGTGGTATTGTCTGTTTTCTGGCGTAGAGGAATGCTTGGGGCTGCCTATTACAATGTTGAGACTTCAGAGGTATGTTTTCTTAAACTTGAAAAATGTATATTAAATGATAATTACATGTTTTCCAAGTAATTCTTAAATTTTAAAATTATAATCTGCGTCACAAAATCTGTTTTGCCATGGTCTTCCAACCTCACACCTCTTAATTTTCATTCATGGGGTTACTTCAAGGACAAAGTTAATGTTTCTCATCTGCTATATTCCTCACAGGAACTTTCCTGCTATTTTTCTTCAGAACAGGTGTTGTTCGATAAAATAGTCTGGCAGTGTTTTTTAGTCTTTTAGCATTAGGCTTGACAGTAAAGAGAAGTCTAGACTAAATATAAACTCTTTCTAGTTTCGTGATGAGGCTATAGTTGCTGTTTATCTTTATTGTGCAATAACTTTTGATTGTACAGGAATATTATCTACAGCCTTTTTTTGGTTTTTTCCAGATTCACATAGCAACAGATATTGTGGATATGAATCCTGATTTTAACATTCTGCAGAGCCTGTATCATCTGGTTGAGCCAACTTGTGTGCTAGTGAGCTCGCAAGTGCCAGAGTCTTTCATTTCTGTGCTTAAAACTCTGGCAGGAACTGGCAGTCTATCAGAAAGTGCCTCCAGCAGAGAGAACATTCTGCCAGAAAGGAAACTGAACATTTTGCCAAGGAAAGACTACAGTAAGCTACCTGTATTAGTATATTTATAACAGTGTAATCCTACACCCAATGCAGATTTGTTCATGGTTGTCACTTTCCTATAGGATGCTAGTTCTTGAGTTGTTTTGGGAATTTATAATTGTGTAAGATTTGAGGTTTTCACAGCGGTGAGTATGAAGATTTCTGTAGACATATTTAACCAACTATTTAAAAATGTATTGACTTCCTCCAGAGATAAAATTTAGGTATTGTGGGATTGTGGTTAACACTCCTGCTTTGTTTTTTGGAATGTTCTCAGTCAAAATCTCTGCTGAAAGTCTATTTAAAAATTAACCGAGTTTTCTATGAGTTTCCTCAGTCCTTCCAGATGAATACCAAAATAATACCTTCAAACAATCCATAACCACTTCATTCCACATCCATTCCAATTTATCATTTGTAACCACACTGTTGTTTATAATTAATTGTGTGGTGCAAAAAAATATTTTTAGTGGTGCAAATGAGTGACTCTGCAGTTTGAACATTTGTTATCAGAATTTATGTTGGATTACAGTTTGCTTGATGAGGTAGAGGGCTTCAGTTATGATCAGTCATTCAGCTTCTGTCATTTTGGTAGCTCACACTGTTTAATATGAATGTAAAAATATATTTTTTTAAACAGTTTTTTGAAAGAAGTAATTTTCTGCTTCACCTACTGTTACTTACTCAGCATTATTA